GCCCCGTATGAGCCTCATAACCGCCGGTATCGATAGTAACCTGCTCAGTGGTCTGCAAGCTGCCACCGTCTTACCAAGTGCTCGTCGAGACGGCGTTTGAATCGCGCCTCGTTCTGCTCCCCCATCACCTCCGACGGAATTGAATTCCAGAGAGAAGCCGCTTTCCGGGAGAGGCGATAGATCAAAGGAGGCCCAGTCTTCCACTTCCGAAGGGTGAGTGTGCGTTGTGCAAAAGCTGCGGCCTGGTCAACCGTTTCTGCCAGGGCACCGTTATTCTCCAAGGATGGTATGTCAGCCGTTGCATGGGTGCGGCGTCAGAGATATGTGTTTAAACGCTTCGGCATAGAGGCCGCTTCAGATGCCAGGGACTCCTCGTACACCCGCCTTTTTCTGGATTTCATTGCAGAGCAAAAATTACGCAACGCCTTGTATTGGTCATAGTTGGATCCACGTGCGAGAAACGCTTTTGACGCCTTGTTTTGACGCTTAAGCATCTGACGGAGATCGTGGTCAAACCAGGGGGCAATAGCGTGTGTCTGGAAGCATTCAGGTGGATAAAAGACTGTCACCAACTCCAGAATGCCCTCCCGGAAGGTAGTCTAGGAGAAGCCTACTTCCTGCGAACAACTGGTCATCCAGGGGAGGGACTGCGCTGTGATTCTCATGCCATCACAGTCCGCGTTTTAGACATTGGGTCCGAAATGTGGTCGAAAGCGATACAAAGATTCACGGCGCCAATGCACCAACAGGGTCGAATGATCGCTCCAGCCGAGTGGTGGAACGTGGTCGGTGGCGTCCAAATCCGATGTTCGAGCGGATAACACCAGATAAAGGACATTCTGGGAAGAATTGCTGATCCTAGTGGGCTCGCGGGAGTGCTGATGCAGGGTCAACTGGTTCACGACTGCTATCAGTGAATCTCGCTTCACTGTATTACGATGTACAATGATGACTGCAAGGAGGTCTTTGGAGAATCGGTCCGCTGTCGGCAGGTAGCGATTTCGGTCCCAGTCGATTAGAGGCACATTGAAAGCACCCAGAATCATGACAGTGACAGTCGCTAGTCCATCGACGCATATCGTTCACGATGGCCACCGCAGCTGTCGCTGGCGTTCTGTAGCAGACTCCGATCGTCGCGTAGCCGTTGTAGCACAGTTTAGTTTTGCACCAAAACGCTTTTCCTTGACAGTCAGGATCCAAGTAACTGTGGAGATGGGTAACCAGCACACTTTCGTGGATGTGTGGTATGACGCTCCCACCCATCCTTGGTTGTTCTCGATCCGAACGGAATGACGCATGCCCCGGGAGAGAAACCTCAGAGTCTAGGACGTCAGGGGTAAGCCAGGTTTCGGTGAGGGTGATTACCACTAGGGAGTGCTCCATAACAAACGCCTCCAACAGGTATCGC